TGTTACATATTAGTTATTCTTCTGACAAGAACATAATACATTCCAATAGACCAAGTCCAAAGAGACTGTGCATTGTAAAGGCATGCAGTAGATTTTAAACGAGTATTACAATAAAGTAAATACTAGGGCACAATGTTAAAGTTGCAAAGGGATTAGTACCTGGTTGGATCCGTCATCAAAACTATCTGGCAGGAAATCCAGATATCTTACTGTCTTGACATTTGAAGGCATCTGAATTACTCTGATGAGCTGTTGACTGTCCAGACACCACAAGTGGACAAGGTTGGATCGTCCAGCAGCAGCAAGTGTTTTTCCATTTCTACAATGGACCATAGTTATTTCATACAACATGGCATTTGCCAGTTGACCAATTTCCAAGTTCAAATCTAACAGCCTTACTGTGTAACAGCAAAAGTCCTGTAGTGAATTCTGGGCCCATTCTGTGGAACAGGCAGTTGATATTTGCAGAAGAGAGTGTCGGTCTCCCAAGCAAAAATGGAATTGTCGCTAAAGCAGCTAAGAATGGTGTTGCTGTGTGGGAGAAAAAACACCTGCAAAAAAGACACAAGAATGAGGGACTGATTCAAAGGGCTGGGTAAAAAAAAAGAATACTTTAATAATAAATAATCTTCAATTTAACAAAAGATATCGATGTTTGAAATCCACCAATATGATTCTTAATATAGCATGCTTTGGTTCAGATGATGTGAATCTTAAGATTTGTTTTGTTTAAAGATGCCATATAATGAAAATCTGGATATACCTAGGCATAGCTAAATATTAAATTTTCTTTTCGGCTTAGTCCCTTTATTAATCTGGGGTCGCCACAGCGTAATGAACCGCCAACTTATCCAACACGCTTTTTACACAGCAAATGCCCTTCCAGCCGCAACCCATCCACACACACACTCATGCACTACGGACAATTTAGCCGACCCAATTCACCTACACTGGATGTCTTTGGACTGTGGGGGAAACCGGAGCACCTGGAGGAAACCTACGCGAACGCAGCACTATCTACTGCGCCACTGCATTGCCAATTACATGTTCAGTACATGGATATGACATACCATGAGGCTCAAATATAATTCATTCCTACAAAACACAGATCATTACATTGCACATAGGATCATCAATATGCATACCCCAGCATTTAATTGGCCACAAAATGTCCTAACGACATTACAGCAATGATCATTTTCCTTCCATATTTTTAAGTTTATCTAAGCTTTTTTTTAAGTTTTTTAAGTTTTTCTACTTTGTAAACAGGGGATGCAGGAAGATTGAAGCCTGTTAATGTATTGTGCATACATTTTGCCAAAATGTGTATTTTTATTTAAGCTGTCATATTTTTTCCTCAATTTCCTTTATAAATATTCTTATCTAATAAGATACAACAGCTCCAAACAGGACTCACAACAAACTCATTTACTCAGGGCAAAAATACACCCATTCATAATTATATTTAAAAATACACTCTTGGTTAAAAGTCCTCTATTTTCAAAAGCATAACTTTTGTTTTCTTTATTTTTTTATGTTTTGGTACAATTTAATCAGATTTGACCAACAGAACAAATAGGCACTCTGCAATTGAGCACTGCTTGACAAATGAAATATATATCATGTATGTAGGTTTATTTAATTATTTAATATTTAATGCTATAGCAGTGTTTCTTTTGTATGCATACACTGAAAACCTAGGTCAGTGCTTTTTTTAAGCATGTATTATGTTGGAAAAAAAAACATTTATTTTTAATTTTTTTTTATTTTCACAATAAAACAACACTAACCTTTTGTATGCCAACCGACTGACGAACATTGAGCTTCCTCTTTCTCTGGAAGGTGTCGAGGCTCCAGAGCTGCGCGGTGTCAGAAGACGTGCTGATGGCGAAGCTGCCTGAGCTATGGATGGACAAGGAGGAAACGGCACCTTCGTGACCCCGCATCCAGCTCACGAGCTGCCTGGTGTCTGCAAACAGGAGATCATGCTGGTTAGAGCAGCTCAATCTGTGCATGTCTTTGTGAGACAACTGTACTTATGTGTCTCACCTTTGTCAAAGCACTTGATGGAGTAATCAGCCAGAGCAACCAGGAACTCAGTGGTTCTTCTTAAATTGAAGGCTAAAGCAGTGCATGCCTGTCCTGTTTTCTGGACAAGCTTGAATCTGATGAGCGATGATGTGAGAGATATGAAATTACATGATCAACAGGTCAGAAAAATTTATTATAGGGAATGATCACCCAAAGTGTATTTACACAGCCTCCACATTGAGGTGAAGTTAATTTTCTAATTACACATTCAGATTTTGTTCTTAATAATATCATTTTAGAAAAGTACTGCTTATACTAAATAGTGAAATCCTATTTACAGCCAATGACTTTCAAAGTACATTAATCAATCAGTCAAATAAATAGTGCTCATGTTGTTTTGAAGTCATACTTACATGTGATTTTAGACAGAATATTTAAAGTACCATGGTAAACAACAAAGGGTGCATACTACACATTGTCACTGAATGAATGTGTGAATATTACACCAACTTTACTTTAACGTCCTCCACTTGTTATTTTGAAGAATGTTGAAAACCATTATCTATTGATTTTTTCCTATTAGTGATGCAATGACTACAGCTTTCCGACATTCTTCTAAATATCTTCTTTTATGTTCAACAGAAAGTCACTTGGATCCACTTGACGTTAAGTAACTGTTCATTTTTGGGTGAACTTTCTCTTTAACATGGGACATATAATGTATACCTGTTTCTGCAGATGTCAAATACATATATATTCCCATGATGATCACCAGCAAGAAACGACTCTCCGGTGGTGTCGAAAGCCACTTGCAGGAATCGAACCGTCTTGGTTTGACGAGCAGACGAGTTGCGGATCACAGTGGCCAGAACGCTGGAAAATACATACATAACGTTACATAACGTTATTCCTTTCAGTCTAATGTCATAGCACGTTTGCTCCGAGATAATTATGGCACACTTACCCGTTTTTTGATACTGATTTTCGGTGCCATATTTTCCCGTCTTCTCTTGACCCGATATCTGTAACTTGCATGTTTGTTTAGCATGGACTGAGATTCTCCAGCAAACATTACTCGCGCCTCACACGCACATCGCAGCGGGAAATTCAACTTTCCGACATTCACTAAAAACTCACTGTCGTGGTTGTTGTTAAACCTTATTCCCGCGTCGAGAATAATTCTATTGATAATACGTGTTTATGTTAGAAGTTACTAAGGGATTCAAATAAAGAAAGAACCAAATAGCAAGATGCAAGTTTCAGTTAGAGGAAGTGACGAATGTAAATAATAGCTGGGAATGGAATTGTGGGTATTGAAGTTGTTTAAAAGAAATATCACGTGACCTAACGTGAAAAGCAAAATAAAGGTAACGTTAGGCCTATAAATAAACAACAGTATATATAAGATAGATTGATACATTTACACATTTAATTGCAGAAATCAGATTTTATGGTGATTACTCCAATCTGAAACTTACATTTCTAAATGTATTTTAAAATAAGAAATAATTAATTACAAAATAAAATATATGCACTCAAGTTGCCAGGAAAAAGTAAAAAAAGACATTAAATCAAATTTGTCAAAATAAGGAAAAATCTTTTTGGAAAAAGAGTTTAATATTTTGAACATATAAACTCATAATTGCAAAAAAGTTAATTATTGGAAATCTAAATGATAGAAAACTTAGAAATAGTGAGACAAAATAAAGTAAAAAATAAAGATTAAAGATTGCTAAATAGGTAAAAAATAAAGATTGCTAAATAGGTAATAAAGAAATAAAGATTGCTAAATAGGTAAGAAACGTAAGAATGATGTGAAAGAACTAAAAGATGTTAAATAAAAATGTCAGAATTGTGAGGATTTTGAGGTGACAAGTCACAATCACCTCTTCTATTTCTCCTTTAAATGTTTGGTTCCTCAAAAAACTTTTAAGTAAAAAGTTCCTTAAAAAATCTAAAGTGTGAAGAATTAAAAAAATGATTCAAACCTTATTATTAATGTAAATGGCAACAAGAAATGAAATTATTAGTGCCAATAAAGCATTCCCTAAAACAAATAGTCTCCTCTGCAAAAAAAACAAGAAAAAAAAACACATTTCATATTTTTTTAAGTAACACAAAACATTCAGACAATATGTCTGCCATTTCTTTCTCCTTCTAAAAGGAAATGTCTTTTGACTAAAGACTAAATGAAGAGTTGAGATGCAGAAAACCTCTCAATGTTGTGTGATATTGTCTTCTAAAATTAGCATTTCTTTTGCTCCTGTAGGTAGGCTCAGACATTTTACTTTTATAGTGAAGAATAAGTTCTTTTCATTGCCTTTAAAGTGAAATAACTGAACATAAACATGGGAACCTGATAAAAATGCTCATTTTAGGAGAACATTTCAGAGGCATTTAGAGGTTTTTGCATCTGCAACCTAAAGTTTTTACTCCAAAATCACAAATGGATGCATATTTTTCTCAGTATAAAAAATAAGACTGTTTTATTCATAAAAATAACTTTTTTTCCCACAACAAAAAGATTGAATCTATCACTATTCTTACAGGAATACACAGAGACATTATAATAGAATAACGTTCAATACATCATAAGAACAGATATTACTAGAGCAGGGGTCACCAACCTTTATGAAACTGAGAGCTACTTCTTGGGTACCGATCAATGTGGAGGGCTACCAGTTTGATAAACACTTCTCAAATAACACATTTGCTCAATTTACTTTTAATTATACTTTGTTTTTGGTAATAATTAATGATATTCATCCATGTGAAGACACTTATCATGTTAATGATTCTCACAAAAGTTATCAACAATGAATTAACAGGGTAGGAAATACCCTGTATTTAATGTATCAATGTGCAACACTTTATTTTTATATATCTCTGCAAATATTTACATTTTTAAATGATTACTTCTATATTAGATGAAGCTTACTGGTAAGTGGCGCTACGGTGAGCTATTTTTAGAACAGACCTGCGGGCAACACATGTGATCCTCGCGGGCTACCTGGTGCCTTCGGGCACCATGTTGGTGACCCCTGTACTAGAGTAAACAGGGGCGGATTGAACCAATAAGGTAAGTGGCTGCTTAGGGCTCCAGGAACTTTGAGGGCTCCCAAATAAATACCTAGAAGTATAAAAGATTCCTATAAATTATGTATAACAATGTTTTCTATCATATTTCGTATGGTGAGGGTCTAAAACTTTTAATTTGAATGTAATATTACATGTTTGAATTCAATCTAGGAGCAATCCAGCAGTCAAATCACTAAAGATTTAGTTTTAAAAACGAAATAGTTCATCTTAATTAAATAATTTCATAGGTTTTACAAGGTGCTTTACATGTTATTATTATTATTTTGCATTAAGATAAAATGTAAAAAGCATACAGAGCATCTATGTTCGCAGAGAGCTTATAAAAAGACTACATAATACATTATTACGATGTCAGCCAGCATCTTTTCAGATACTTCAGCTAAAACAATAAACATTGCTGTACTCATTAAAACATGAGAAACATAGTTCAGTTCAGTATCAATCAGGAAAAAAAAACAGTTTCAGCTCATAGCACAGAAGTGTAAAATAAGCTCTGCCTGAGCACCAAAGCATCGGTCAAAAGAAGGCATGTTAAATATATCCTTCCAGTGTACAATCATAGGTCGAGCTGAATTTCCCCTGATCACCATTTCACACCTTTTAACTGATCATGTCAGCCTCAGTCTCTGTATTTTCCTCAACATCTGAGTCACAGCTCTCTGTGACCGTCATGCTGTTGTGGTCCCCAATAATGACATACTCCATGCTGGATTTCTCCACTTGAATGATGCTGCTGCCACTTATTGTGTCCTGCGGTGGGATCAGCTGATCATGGCTCTGAGGATCTGCCGTTTCTTCCTCTGTTTTGAAAAAATAAATAAGTAAAAATTCATTAATGTATGAAATAGTTCACTTGGTCAGCTTTTTGATATCTAAAATTATACTACGTGACTAATCCATGTGAAATACAATAAAAAGTACACCGAATAAATATACAAATCGCAGAATGATGTTACATATGCAATTAATGAACAAATAATGAAAGTTAAATAAAACTGTATATTGAATTAATTAATTACCATTATTTAGCTTACATGTATAAAATATAATACTCTATATTTCCTCTTACCGCTGATTGCATCATTCTGAGGAAGCAGAGCATGCTGATCACAGGCAATGCATTGGTTATTGTTGTTCCCAATAATGCAGTTGCTCAGGGAAGAGTTTTGTATGTTTATAATATAAGGTGTAAATTGCACTTTATCTGTAACGAGAAGACCAATAACACACACATCATTATAAGCGACCACAAAACACACTAAAGGATGTGGGAGAGCAAAACAATGTGCCTAGTTATTTTGAACAGTGGGCTATAAGGTAAAGAACGTGAAGTAAGTGTATTTATTAACCCTAAAGAGGAAGTGCTAAATGAATTCACCACCCTGACACTTCCTAAAACAGGACAAAGAGAAAAGTGTATAGCATATGATGCAAAGTATGCAAATATGTTTACCTGAGAGAGGAATTTCCTCTAAATGTTGATGACCCTCGTCACTAAAGTGTGCTTGATGACAACAAATGCATAAAGAAAAAGATGAATAATCAAGTCAAACGGCAACAGAGATCTTTTTTTCAAGGGAATACTGTACACACTAACCGGGAAATCCAGTGACATTTTCATACAATGCTGGGTTGCAAAGTCCAAGGCAACTGAGAAAAGAGCTGCACGCATTTTGTCCCTTTTTAATGACAATCTGAATCAGTCTGGAGGCTTTCTGCATGTCTGTGGACTGAGATGTAATAACCTGTTCTTCATGTTTGGTGATTTTGTTGGATCGGCACAAACAGCAGGACATCTTCTGAACTAAAGGCCCAGTCATATACTTACTGAGGAAGCCCAAATATTGCTGTAAAAGCTTTTCTGCAGAAAAAGAAAATAAGGAAGATGGTTTAAAACTAAAGAAAATTTTGAGGCAACAGTATAATATATGTATGTTTAATGCTCAAATGCCCTGACCATAATATGTTCGTAAACAGGGCATCACTTAGGAACAAAAATATATGAGCAATTTTATGCAAATGTCGACCTTGACATAGAAAAATAAATTTTCTGTAAAATAGCGAAACCCTTTCTAGGTTTTTTGTGTAGGCTTGTATTTTACAGTACTGCGAAAATACTCTAAAGTGTCTCTGTCAAAGTTTTCAAACTATAATATTTGATTTAACAAAGTCACACAAGTGCCAATTTCACATCTGTCACATCCATAACGGAGAGATGTCACATCCATAACCTAGCTTTTTCCTCATAAATATACATAGGTCAAATCAAATAAAAACAGGCGACATGGTGGAGCAGTAGGTAGTGCTGACGCCTCACAGCAAGAAGGTCGCTGGTTCGAGCCTCCGCTCAGTCAGTCTGCGTTTCTGTGTGGAGTTTGCATGTTCTTCCCGTGTTAGCGTGGGTTACCTCCGGGTGCTCCGGTTTTCCCCACAGTCCAAAGACATGTGGTACAGCTGAATTGGGTAAGCTAAATTGTCTGTACTGTACGAGTGTAAATGAGTGTGTGTGGATGTTTCCAAGAGATGGGTTGCAGCTGGAAGGGCATCCACTGCGTAAAACCATATGCTGGATAAGTTGGCAGTTCATTACACTGTGACAACCTCAGATTAATAAAGGGACTAAGCCAAAAAGAAAATGAACGAATGAATAAATATAATCAATCATGTTTGTTCTATAGAGAGCCAACTCTTATCTTTTTGATTAGCATTGTTTCTTTGGGGTTGTACAGTTTAATTCACAAAATTTCTACAAGTGTGTTGTATACTGCAAACTTGCAGACTTTTTTGGTCACATCCATAATGTATGTTTATTTTCCTCATTTGAAATATCAAAATGTTTACAGATTGATATTTTTCTGATCCCTTAACTCTGTACTTAATCATTATTTAAAATATAAACCGATGTTTCAATGCAATGTTAACATATACTTTCTATGAATTTGTTTTTTGAGTTTTTACTGCAAATGTCACATCCATAACGTTGCACATATTGTGAAAATGAAACATCTTTATCTATCAGTCTAAAAATGCCTAAAGGTGTGCTTGGAAAAAACAGCAAAAAATTGTTGTAGTTAAAAAAGCTTCTTTATATGTTTTTGTAATATTTAAACTGCATCTTTGATGACTAAATGTTACATATCATTTTTAAATGTGCTCTATTGTGAATAATACACCTCTCCTGTATTTTTTGTTAACAAACAGGACATAACGATGTGTTCTGCTTCCTTATTATCACAAACAAACAAACAAACAAACAAACAACAACCCAGATAGCAAAATACACTCGGGCCAGTTCCGGCTAGATTGTCGCCTGCCGGAGACTAACCCCTCGGCCCAACTTCGGCTGCCGGACTCGGGCCGGATGCCTGTGGACTCACTGCCCGATTCCGGCCCGAATCAAGCGGGCCAGATGCGGCCGCCGTAAGCGAGCCGACGCTGCGCATCCGCGCCGGAATCGGCGCGAGGGTAATGTGCGCTGCGGCCCGGAGCTGGCGCGACTCCATATTTATACACCTTATAAAACCTTTTGGTATTACATTGGTACTTGATATTTGGTATTACAACCATTTGAATTTATATAACAGCAAACACAGGCTATAATGTAAACACAAAGTGTAAGCACTGCGTTTAACCTTTGAATAAAGTGCAAACTGCATACATATTCTGTAACGAAAATAATCAGACAAATGACAAAATAAATAAATGTTAAACGTTTATTGATTGCATGAAAAAAATAGTACTAAAATTATATAAATAATTTTGTAGTGCACAAGAATATCAATATAAAAACAACAATAAAACAACACAATAAAGACACACAGAAAGATTTAAACAAAAAATCTAAAAATTACACACAAACACAGATGTTTTTTTAAAACAACCCTGTTTTCCCAATAGACTTGAATTAAAAATTTGTAAAAAACAGCTAAATTTTATATAAACCTAAATATAGAAACCAATTTAAGATATAGCAAGAAACATCTTAAAAATACCAATGACAATCCATAAAATATCCAAGTCAAACTTGTAAAAAGTACTGCAGAATTCTGAAGAAACATCTTGAAACATTTTTTAATAAAACATTAAAATAATAATAAACAAATATATATATATATATATATATATATATGTATATATATAAATATATATATATATATAATTGCAGAAGTATAAAGTCAAACTTTTTTTTAAATAAACTTGAACAAAAGCAATTGCACAAACAGCAAGACATGAGTGAGATGATTATACATTTCATATATATACACGTCTTGTGCAATTTTATATTTATAATTTTATTTGTATTACGTTTATTAAAAATGTATCAAGATGTTTCTTTAGAATTTGGCGCACACACATACATACATACATACATACCATACATATATACACACACACACATATATATATACATATACATATATATATATATATATATATATATAAATGCAAATGAAAGAAACAAATTGTTCAAGTATCAGGGAACATCCTAATACACATAAAATGTTGTTTAAAAAATAAAACAAAATAGTGATGTAGACATTTGACACATTAGCTTTCTCTTCTTTCTTCCTCCATCCCTGTCAGGGGCAAGTTGTAGCTACCTTGTAATGCATTTTTCCACTTCTTTATCAGTGGCGTGGTATGGACATTTGTCCTCACTCCATCTGTGATTAAAAGATAAACAGATAATTAGTAGTGAACAAGTACTAATGTAAAAAAAAAGAAAAAATTAGGAAAAAAGTAGGCTACCTACGAAGCAAAAAAAAAAAACAATCAAAAAAAACAAATAAACTTAAAACACTTTGAAATTAGCAAGAGCTTGAACTTACCAGTTTCTTCATTTGTTCAGGCTGCTCCTTTAGTTGATTTTCAAGCTTTTCCAAATCAAATTGGCCAAAGGAAGGTCAAATGTGTTTACATCTGGAATTTCATCACGTCTGTTTTGGTTTTGTGAGAATCAGGCCCAGCTGCTGCTTTATGACGTTGCATGATTTTAAAACTTCAGTCAGTCGTGCTAAAAAAGAAAAATAACAGATTAGTATAAATCAACCTGTAGCTTATTCTCATACAACTTCTGTAAATACAACAGTGGGTTAGACACTGCTGATATTCTCTAGTTGATCTTTACTTTCTAGCTGCATTAAACCTTAACAAATTTAGTGATGTCTTCAATTCTTACAAAGACATCACGAGATGCAATACGTTCTGACTTGATCTCAAACTGCACTAGAACAAAGACTGTAAATGTTCATAGGTGTACTGCAGGAGTGTCCAAACTTTTTGGGTCGAGGGCCAGATGCAAAAAAACAAACGTTGTCGCGGGCCAAATTTTACATACATCACACAGACACGTGTATATATATATAAATACAGTTGAAGTCAGAATTGTTAGGCCCCCTAAATTATTAGCCACCGTTTATTTTTTCCCCAATTTCTGTTTAACAGAGAGTTAAACATTTTTTTCCACACATTTCTAAACATATTAGTTTTAGTAACTCATTTCTAATAACTGATTTATTTTATCTTTGCCATGATGACAGTAAATAATATTTGACTAGATATTTTTAAGACACTTCTAAACAGCTTAAAGTGACATTTAAAGGCTTAACTAGGTTAATCAAGTTAACTAGTCAAGTTAAGGTAATTAGGCAAGTTATTTTATAACAATGGTTTGTTCTGAAAACTTAAGGGGCTAATAATTTTGACCTTAAAATGGTTCATAAAAAAAATTCAACCGCTTTTTATTCTAGCCGAAATAAAACACAAGTCTTTCTCCAAAAGAAAAAATATTATCAGACATACTGTAAAAATGTTCTTGCTCTGTTAAACATCATTTGGGAAATATTTAAAAAAGAAGAAATAAATCAATGAGGGGCTAATAATTCAGACTTCAACTGTGTGTAGACAGACAGACAGACAGACAGATAGACAGATCGATAGATAGATATAGATAGATAGATAGATCATAACAAGAACTGCTGCTTAATTGAATGCATGTAATAGCGACACCCGGTGGTTATTTATTGAATTACGTTCATTTTTGTATAGCGAGCCAGATTCTATTGATATTTATAAAAAGCCTCGCGGGCCGTAGTTTGGACAGCCTGGTGTACTGGAATGTACAGTATCTGTGCATGTTGATGGTGGTCTTAAGATTTCTGCCATAGTCATTGATGGTGATGGTACTTGTGGTGCTGCATTGATTTCTGAAATCTTCATACCTGCCTTTTATCCAGCCTCTTTGTTCCAAATAATTTTTCTTCATCATGGTATAGATGTGTCCATACTGTCCCTTAATCAGATACATTTACAAAACAAAACATCACTTTAGTATAGTGCCAGGGCAAAACTCACAGGTTGTAATAGATCAATGACATAATGTTGACAGTATGTGTTTAAAATAATTGCAAACAAACCTGTTCTGTCTTTAGATGTATGACAGTCATCGTCCTCATCTGTCTACCAGTCAGAAATCACAGTTGCGTGTGGATGTTTGAGTCGAGCTTCCTCATATGCATCTATAATAAAACATCACATTGTTGTTAACCTCCCGTAAAGAAAAGTTCAAATCCTGAAATACTATCAAAGTTAATTAATGTATATAATACCTATAGTGTAAATAATCAGTACACAGAAGGTTGCACAAGATTTATTCGGAGATTCATGCAGAGTGACAGCCTTATGAATCTGAGACATAGATTTGTAAGATGGTCAAGCACATGCATTATTCTGTACCCATGAAGATTAACCTACCATTGTGAAAAATGTTTGATGATGATAGCCAATAACAATAAACCATTTCAGCTGTTTGTGAAGCAATTAGTAATGTAATGTCTGAAAAGCTCAATCTATGTTGAAAATGTATCAGCAGTTTACAGCTTATGGACTTTTAGCACACAACTATAACATGCCTATTCACGTTCAAAAGAGTGTGCCATTGACTTCTTTGGTCGTGATGTGCTGCAAAATGATCTCACTAACCTTTGTTAAACAAGAACAATAAGACTTAACCAACAAATATTGTTACCCATTCATTTAAATCAGAACTTATCACTGTCAATAACATAAAAAAAAAAAACATCAAAATCTGCTTTAAGATGTTCAGTTTTATATTAACTGACCATTACAGCTTGAACAAAAGATATAATTGATTCACACATATGAATTAAAGTGCATAGTAATATATTTCTCTTGGATAATTTAAAGAGAATAGTAAACAGTCGAGTTTCGATCATTTTCGTGACTAACTGCATAAACAAGATAAACAATAATATTTTATTAATCCAAAACGATTAGTTTTTATTTACACAATCACAGAATTAATACTGTTGGATAAGTATACGCCTGTACAATGATTTTTTCAACATCCACGGTTCTTTATAATGTTAAATCAGGAAAAAAAACACGTTTTGCCATGTTAGTTAATGGATTCGTCTACAGAAACTTTCTTTAACGCAAAGTTAGCATACACACAAATTCGTTTCATGTTTCTTTAAAATAATTAAAATAGTTTTCAGTTACTACACACGTTACAATCTAACATTGTGTAAAAGGAAAAGGAACTTTCAGACGTGTTTGTAACTGTTAGCGTTAGCATACATTAGCTCCAGTCGTGTTTCTTAAAGCAAGTTACATTTCGTATCAAACTGTTTTAAATTACTAAACGCTGTTACAACCAAACACCGTGGAAATGTTTTAAGCTCTAAATTCGCTAATTATACAGAACACAAGCAGTAAAAAGCTTACCTTTCTGACCGGACTCCACGTGAATCTTTGAAAAACCAAACTTTTTCTTCTTGTGATCTTCGTGCCATGGTGGTTGACAACCAGCTTTTCGGAGCATTACCGCCACCGTCTGGATTGGAGTTTGGATCATGAGTTTAGTCACGCATGTGTTTATTATGAAACCAACTTCTGCTTTAAAAAAAAAACAGTCAGCACAGGAGCGTGCTATCTCAAAAATAAGCGAATTTTACATAGTTTTTCTCGAGATGACATGTATAATCGATTTATAAATAATATTGTTTTGTTTGCGTCTAAACATTGCGACCATCCACACTATATTCTTTTTTTTGTTTTTTGTTTTTTTGCTATCGTACCATGAATATTTTCTCAAATTATCATTAAACGTGGAGCTAACAGATTACTAGATAAAATAAGAACTTAATCGGTTGCCATCAGCCGAGTCCTTGCAAGAAGCGGCCAGGATATGGTTGACCGGAATCGGGCCAGTGCTTTACAGCCGCATCACAACCGCATGTGCGCGAGCGAGCTGCGGGCCGCACTCGGCCCGGATAACACTCGCCGATGCCGAGTCGGAGCCGGAGGCGCCGGGGGGCAGCCGAGCTCGGGCCGATTACTGCCTGCTATCTGGGAACAACAACAAAGAGTGTTAAAAAGTGATTGACCAAACGAGTGATTTATCAGTTCAAAACTTACCAGGAGATAAAACAACCGTGCCGTCCATCTTTTAACAATCATCAAAAATGCCAACACGTCAACTGAAAGCGTTTTTTTGATGGCTTATGAAAACGAAACCGCTCATATAAGTTACGTAGGCTACACGCGCATGCGCGCTGAGAATGTAAATTCCAGAATGAATTCCCCCATGTTTATTGAGTCATTCTGGCGAGCTGTTACCGCAACCTTTAATAATATGTAAATAATAACAACAACATATCAGAAAAAAACTTTTAAATATGTGCCTATCGATAAATTTATTGGCAACACATATTTTAAAGCACGTCGTTTATCAAATGAAATGTGAGATTAGTTTATATAGTCTTATAAATACAGACGCACGTTTGAACGAATTAAATCTTATTTACTAACTATAACATCGCCTTTGCTCGTTTGTAGCGCAACACTGATATTTCAAGCCCTCTCCAAGCGTCAGAGGCTCAGAGCTCGATCTCTATTGGCTCAGTTGGCAGTTGCTTTTGGGAAAGGGAGGATCCGCTGCACTTGATGAGATGAGGAGCATCCCAGAGCCGGTAAAATGGGAGCGGAGCTTGAAAATATGATTGTATGAGATGTACAGTCCACAGTTGTCTGGAGGCACGTATAAACTGTGGCAAACATGAAGATTTGGAGCACGGAACACATATTCAGGTAGGCAAAGCCGCGTTTGGGATGAGTTGAGCGCGCGCGTGCACAGATTCCAGCATCCTCTCTGTCGTTGCACCCCGTTTCGTTTTAGCTCTTGGAACGGGAAAGTCACATAATTTATTTAGACATTTTTTATATGTTTTTAACTATTAATTTCTATATGCTTGTAGATAACTCATTTTTCAACAATAGAGGTGAATAAGCATTTATTTGGGCCTAGCCGGTTGCTTTTCTGTCACATCTCTGCGCAGTGCACGACTGCTACTCATCATCACGCCTTTTAAAGGGATAGTTCAACCCCTTACACAGAAAACTCACCATGTACTGATCCTCAAGTCAAGTGGATCTGAAGAATTTTGAACCAGTTAACATTCACACCCATAGTATTCGGGGGAAAAAACAAACACAATGGAAAGCGATGGCTACCAGTTTCCAACAATCATTATAATATCTTCTTTTGTGTTCAACAGAAGAAAGCAGTTCAAACAGCTTGTGACTGAAGGGTGACTAAAGCATGACAGAATATCTGTTTGAAACAAGTGGAACTCACTCAATTACGTAATCTAGGTTTTAACATGAAGTTGTGTAAAATTATTCAGTATTTTTTTCTTTTGAAACAAATTAATTTAAAAACTGATGACTATATGAGGTAGGGCTATAAAATTTATGTCAATTACAATAAGCTCTGGACTTTTCTACTTTGATCTATGAGAGGAAAAATGTTATGTCATTTGATGGACCCGTTAATTTTTGTGGCTTCAGTCATTGTTGGGATACTTTTTTTAATCTGGAGGCATTAATAATTTATATCGATGTATAGCCTATATTGCTATAGTTCAATATAGAAAATAATTATCAAGATTTCGTTTTTGCCATTTTGCCCAGCCCTAATATGAGGTTAAAAAGCAGCATTGTTTGCAGGTCTCTCAGCCTGATAAGAGTGTTTTTTTCACTGACATGAACTAAACCAGCAGACAGGAATTCAAATCAAACAAGCTAATCAATTTAAAGCAGTTAAAACATCCAAATCAACAACTCTGTGTTTTTGTCATCAACATATTTTGATACAAAACCCAAACAGAATTGTGCAAATTCAATATATTTCCTAGTTTCCACTTGCTTTTACAAAGATAATTCACTATAAGGAAAAAGCACAGCAAAATCCTCAGAGTAAAATGTACTCAGTTAAGATAGTATTTGGTCTCTTTCTAGATTGAGTTAATGTTACTCAAGTTAATGAGACAATAAAAGGATTAATTAGGTGAGGACTGAGCAATGATGATGAACACCTGCTGTTAATAAGCAGAAACACAGATAAGAAAAACAAAACCGGCACAGCCTTAGATGAAATCAGCTGATGTATAATACACTGAATCTCAGCATAGGATCAGCTTGATCAATAAGCAACTCCACAAACAGCAGCTTTACTTATTACTTACGTGTTTGCCCTTATTTAAAGAGGGACCAAATACTCACTGAACTGAGTAAATTTTACTCAGAGGATTTTGCTGTGAAATCCTTAATTATAAGGAAATTAATTATTTTACAAAACTTTTTTTCCCTCTGATAGTAGCTACACTGCAGTTATTTGACAATTACATTTGGTATTAGATACTATGTGAGCTGTTTGATGCAACACAACTGGTTTGCTAGGCACTCTATCAAACCAGCTGACCAAATCGCCTTAAACTAAGATCTTATTTTAAAACACTATCAATTTAGTGTCTATGATTTAAGCTGAATTGATCACAATCTCAAAACATTGATTAAAATGAATAAATCTCAAACAAACCTTTATTTTAGGGCCCCAGTCTCTCTTGTTTCAGACGTGATGTCTGCTGTTGATAATAGGATTACATGGGCAAAGTTCTTCCTGCTTATAATGAAGTTAGATTTCCCTTGAATGTGGTTTGCGTATGAGGTCATTGACAGTATATCGAGATCATTGTCAATATATGGAGGTTCCTCATGAGCTACTGTAAGCTGTTGTCATCAGCTTTTGCCTGTATTTACACAGCTACCCCTGGGAGACTGTGATCAAAGCAGCTATGAGGAAGTATCCTAATCCAATGAACCCTAGTGTTGTTGGCGTGGATGTGCTGGACAGGAACCTGGACACACATGGACGTCTGCACAGCCATCGGCTCCTCAGCACAGAGTGGGGTCTTCCAGGGGTCGTCAAAGCGGTTAGATGATGAGCTTCAATAAATGTATTGCTTACATGTCTATATAATGTAGCGTTAAAGATACATTTTTCACCACTAATGTTTATTATAATATATACACTTACTAGTCTCACTTTGCTGGAACTAGATTAAATCCCCTTTTTCAGAATGTCTGCCTTTATTCTGTATGGCACATTTAACTGGTTGTACTAAGTGGTCTAAAGTTTGCCCACAAAATCTTCCCCACTATAATATATGATAATACAGGGCAGGAGAGATCTGTGCTTTCAAGTTCTTTAGTCACATGATCCTAATGTCATTGTAGGGGCCTAAGATGCATTAGACCACATGACCTTTTTCCAATTTCCTATTATTCATTTTTGGTCCTAAATGCATTGATTTGCTGCTCTGTGATTGGCTGATTACATATTTACGTTAGTACCACCAGTTGTGTAACTAATGGAGGGGTCATTGAGTGTATGTTAAAACTAAAGCTAATGACTTAAGCTAGTTTTAGCAATATTAGCAGCATGTATTATCCGCAAAAGTTTTTAATTCAAATTTGTTTTATGGCATCATTTTATAGTTTACCAAAACATCGAATTATATAAATTAATCAACAACATGTAAATTAGGGCTGCACAATTTATCGTTTCAGCATCGATATCGCAATGTGATCATTCACAATGGTCACATCGCTAGTATATGCAATGTTGAGTCTGGTTTATAATTTATCATTTCGCAAGTGTTTTTTAATGCCTGAGACTGTTTGAAGATTTCAAAAGCAGTCAGGCATAAGAAAATGTACTGTTTGTAACTTTGAAAAATGAACAACGATTAATTTGCTTCTCTCTCTATAAAAAACAAAAATAACTCCTACTCTAGCACTAAATTCTTTGAGCACAAATAAGTTACTTTGAACAAATAGCACTTCTCAAATGTATCATCTCTTCTTGGTGAATCGCTGAAAACCTTCTCAATTGTAAGTCGCTTTGGACAAAAGCCCCTGCTAAATGACTAAATGTAAATGTAATGTATTTCATTGAATTGTTTATAAAACAAAGATTATGCAGTATTATTTTACATTAAATTATTCAATTAATGTATACCTGATTACAATTAGACTCTTTGGAAAACAATTTTTATTGTTTTTTATTTTATTTTATTTTATTTTATTATATTTTATGTTTTTATTTTATTTTATTGCTGTTTATTTAATTTAAAATTTTTCTATATTTAATTTTTTTCTATGCATGTTTATTATATTTTATGCTCTTCCCTACCGCTAAACTCTTTACAAACATTTATTTAACTCATCTAGTGAAATTTTGTATATATTGCAATATATATATAGCAGAATAAAATTTTTTTGTCATGTGTCATTTTTCCAGCATCGTGCAGCCCTATTGTCCGTGTACTCTAGGGTAAGGGTTAGGATTAGTTTAGACTTAATAATTATGGATCATTTACTGTTATTACTACATTATTAACTAACTATTAACTAATACATTTAACTCAATAAACTACTAATCTGCTGCTTATTAATAGATAGTAAGTTTGTAGATGGGTTTAGGTACTTGAGTAGAGTAAGGATGTAGAATAAGATCATACTTTATAACTATTAATAAACAGTTAATAACATAATCATAATAACAAAATAATAGTCAACATGAAATAAGCCTGTAGTTAATAGTGGGAATTAGTACATATAGTAAAGTGTTACCAAATTTTCATTATAAACATTGTAATGGTGTTAAAAAGTCTTATTCGTTGACTTTCATCTACCTGGTTCTTTAAAAAGGCACCACTTACACAACTTATCTTAAATCTTTTTTTCTTTTCTTAGATTTTAGGGACAAGTCGAACTGTCACGTATGTAAAAGAACATTCTATTGTCGACCCCGAAGAAAAAAAAATGGAGCTTTGCTCAACAAACGTAAGTGTTTGCTTAGCTATTGACAACTGCAACAACTGTTATTGCAAAACAAATCTATGTTGTTTGATTACCGGAAAGTGCTTAATTTTAAACTGGACTAAATACATCTCTTTCCCTTCAGATAACCCTAACCAATTTAATATCAGTTGATGAAAGGCTTGTCTACAGGCCTCATCCAGACAATCCAGAAGTGTAAGTAAAGGATCATTTTATTACATTTATATGAATACACATAGAGTATAAATTGGCGCCAAGCCTAGGACAAATTGATATGTCACTCTTGATGTTTAAGCATTCTGCATAGTTGTGGTTGGAGATTGTATAACGTTTAGTATGTAAGTATAGTCTGTTCTAATGGTCTAATTTAAGTTGTTCGATCAATAAAGGCAAATATCTGCTCATCCCTTTTGGCCACTACTGTAAAGCCAACAAATAATATATCAATAAGTTCAATACCACATTGAAATGATGTTTGTTGTACTTTTTCAGCACTGTATTAACCCAGGAAGCAATCATCACGGTGAAGGGTGTCAGTCTGAGCAGCTACCTTGAAGGACTGATGGCTTTAACTATGTCAGCCAATGCAAGAAAGGTAGACTGCTGTTTTACTGGCAATTGTGGTTTCCAGAAGGATTGTAA